TCCAACAAACTAATTGCTAAAGTGTCATCAAATATCTGACAGATCAGACCCAAATGGCATGGTATGCTTACACCACCTACGCAGCAGGCAATCTGAGTCTTAAAAGTGAAGTTACAGCCTTCTTTGCTGTAATGTTTCCAAATGGGCATGTCGCACACATTATTTATAGACATCTGCCCAGACATTCAGATGAACGTCCCAAGAGACACAAGCTTCCACCTCAAACTCAGTGGCAGCATTTCAGTTCTCCAGTTTAACTATTAAATTACTGATTGCTTCTGCAAAAGGCCAAAAAAAGATTGAGAAAAGCCAACAGAGAAGAACTAGAAGTTGGTATGATCAGAAAAAATCCAAAATAGGAAGAGAAACAGAGATGGGAAGAGGAGAACCTAGTGAAAGACAATGGAAACAAGGAAGAAAACACATGAGGTGACACTGTGGAGAGAGAGGGGGAACCACAAACCTCACCTGAACATGAGAGGCTGAGAAACAATGGCATCTGAAAGCTGAGCCACCCTCTGTGCTCAGCTGGCTCACTCCATCCCTTCCTTCATCTCTTCCTAAAGCCTCAGATCGGTCACTACACTCAGGGAGCAAGGTTGCCCTGTGGCAGGACCTCCAGAACCTGCTTTGCTGCTCTGCCACCCCCTCAGCTACTACCAGAGTTGGGCTTCTGCCTTAATACCAAGCCCATGGCCCCTCAGTGCATGCAGGGCCCCACAAACCACCCCAGAGCAAGGCCTCACTGCAGACAGGACCCGCAGGAGCCGAGGGCTCAGGCAACTCAGGCACTTCCCTGGGGGAAGTGTGAGGCAACAATTAGTGTGGCCCCCAAAAATCAACGACTGCCTCAACTGGGCAGAAGTCTCAGCCCAAGAGGACCACACAGGCCCTGGTCTCAGCACACAAAATACATGTCTTAATACTGCCAACCTGGTCCATGACCTCGACAGCACCTGCCAGGGATGTGGCACTCTGGCAAAGAGGGTTGCAGGGGGTGAAATGCAGCATTTCCCTCCTGCCAATGCTGCTGCTGCTGGCCCCTCCACAAACTGACTGAAGGCTGGTGCTGTCCCTGCCTGCCCAGGCTGGGCACAGGCATTTCCTGCCTCAGAGCAGGCTCCTCCAGAAGCTTCCCACCCACCTAACAAGCAGCCAACACAGCAACCTTTTAGCACACGCTGCTGTGACACATGTGGCTGTGCTTTGACATGGCAGCACTCCTAAGTCATGCAAGCCCCCTTTTTGTTGGGCCCAGGACAAGCTGCTGCTTCATAAGCATTCATGTCAGTGGTGTAGTTTGTCATGCATGTTAAACCGGGGTAGTGGGAGGTAGAGTGTAGATGATGCCTCTGGCCTTCCTTATATACCTTGGACTTTGTTATTGTCTCCATATACAGTATTTACTTTCTGGGAACAGCCATCACTAAATCAGCTGGAGGCAGCACCACTTCACTGATGAGAGATTTCCAAGGAGAACTTTGAAGAACTAGGAAGGAGCAAAAGCAAGGACAAACATGCCTTTCTGCTCCACTATCTGCCTGACAGCACCACATAATAAATTTATACATCCACATCTTATGGCTTGTCCTATCTGTCCATTACTTCATCAGCAAAAAGTGTTGGGAGTTTCCCTGATATTAACTGGCGAGACAGAATGCATTAGTCTAGAAATGGATTATTAAATGTCACTGTCAAACTGACACAGTCAATAAATACAGTGGACTGTAAGTGCTTTAATCATGTAACACTTCATGTGTACTTTTCTGTCAAAAAGTTTCCATACAGTGGGGTTTTAAGTCCTATTTTGATTTCTTCCTTGCCTAACTCTCTACTTTTCTCTGCCAGACTTTGTGCTCCCCCAGTGTGTAGTACAGCCAGCAACAGGGTTACCAACACCTTCTTTAGGAACTGCCCCTCCTCAACAAAGTGGCCCAAGTCACCACATAGACATCCTAAATTCAAGGTATCCAAACCACTCACTCAATGTCAGAGGATCACGAATCGACTCCATTTCTTCTAGGCAGAAAAGGACATGCTTCCAAGCTGATGGGAAAACTCATCTCCTCTTTCAAAATGCCAAGAAAGATTCAGTAGAACATAGAAAACCGCTGCCTTTAAAATTACGGTGTGCAAACTGTGACAGCCCGACCGTCTGACCTGCCAAATCAGCAGCAATACTAGAAGGGTTACCTTCAAGTCACTTCCAGTCCAATCAACCACTTGTTTTTAAAACAACGTTGCTGCTGCCTTTCAGCATAGCCCCTGCTGAATTTGTCCCAATACAGATTCCCAATGATCCTACATGGGATAACATGAAACCAAGTATTTTCTGGCTACTATGGACCTCAAGATGCCTTTTTTCTTTCTAAGAACTTAAATATAGCTTCTGTGGGGATTTTTTTATTTGGTTGTTTTTGGATTTTTTGGCTCCCAATCAGAGTTGTCAGACAGCACATGCTATTTTGAGTTGGAACCACCTCAACCCCAGAAACCTATTTGTGGGTCTTATTTCAGCAGAATCGTTTTCTACTTAGAGAAATCCTAAGCTTTTGATAAGGAGTTAAGAAGACACATTAATTTTTGGGACAGTTTTCATGTCCTTCGTCTCCTCACTTACTCTGATCAGGATTAAACTGGATTAACAGAACTGGCACACTTAGGTCCCATTTCACTTAAACAGCATTCAGTTTAAGCTTCATTCACTCCAACAGGATTCTTCCAAAATGCTCCTCCTGGCAAAGCACTGAGCAATTCTTAACAACCAATCACATAAATAATTTAATTCTCCACACTTTCTCCAAAAGTATATAGAAAAATAAAGAAACGCAGAAAATTCAAACAAGGTTTAAGGGTTGGTTGTTAAACTAGATAATGCAATGCCCTCTAGTGTTCTGCAGAGAAAGCTGGTACAAGGCTGTCCAAAGCCTTAAAATTCAAGCTTTGGATTGCTGCACCATTTCGAGTGACAGCCAAAGTTTTGGAAACTTATGGCTCACGTGCAGCATCCTTAGAATGTCTTGCATACAGGTGTGGACTGCAGAACAATTTTGGGATCCTTTCTTTCCCTCCATTGCTGATTCTTGCATCCGAATTTCATGTCAAAAGATGTATTTTCTGGGCATACACAGACAGCTTGAGGAATAAGCCTCTTTTTTCATCAGAGTTCACAAAATAAATGAAACCTACCTTCTCTCTTACCTACAAATACCATCTGTGGACAGCTTTTTATTGTCTTCCCACCTGTGGCACATGATAAGTCACAGAATACCCACCCTGTACCTTCCCCAGATACACACAGCACCCAATACCCTGTGTTAGTGCCCCAGCACACAAGCAGGATGACTTTGGCTTGAAGAGCTCTCTTACAGAGTTCCAAAACTCAGTGTGTTTGCTCACAGCAGCAGCATTCCCATGATATTGATAAATTGCAAACAGAACTATCCAAACTGGAGAAAGATTTAAATAAAGGACAGCATTCTCTTAATGAATAAAATACAAAACCTGCAGAACTAACCAAGTATTTATTTACACCCTGTACACCTTACAAAACTCAACATTGCACAAAGGACTGGAAAAGTTTTTAAAACTAGGGGTCTAAAAAGTGAAAGGCAAAGTCCTTGATGAAGGCTGCTCTGAAATGGGCAGCTAGGAGTCCTTAAATTTTACCATCCATTGGTTTTGAAAAGACAACAGCTGGGCTCTCACCATCTAGATACACTAGAAACCTGATTGCCTTTGATTAAACCCTTTATCACATCAAGTACTTCTTAAAAAATTAACAGATCAAAAGCTGCAACAGAAGGAATAAAAAAAATAATCAAATAAAGCATCAATTATACTCACATTCTATCTGAAATAAGGGGGGGAAAAGATTAAATGGTGTATTTTCTGGCAATCTGAGGGAGGCTGTTACACTTAGAAAACTGCCAATGCAAAGATCCTACCACAGCCATAAAGTTACTGGCTGAAGCTGGCCTGTTAACAGTGTTTTGCACTCTTATCAGGGACATTGACTGGGGCAAGATCAATACAGGCTTGGTTTCTTGGCTTGGCCCATTTGAGAGGTAAATAGAGAAGCTTAGGTCTTCAGACTAGGCAAGACCATCACCTTCCAGAGGAATTTATTCATAACAACAAAAGAAATAACTTCAAGAAGTTTTCTTCATAAAAGTAAGTTCTCTAAACAAAACCCTGCTGGAGTGATCTTAGTTCTGCAAAAATTATTGGATGATATTTTCTTGTGAGATCCCACCTAGGGTAAATTCTGGACTTGACCTGGCACTTTCAATGTGGCTTTTAGGGCAATATATTTGCAACTCTTATGTCTAAGGATGTAATACAGAATTTGGATGTAAAGCAGGATCAAATTAGAAATTTTTTAAATTAGATTTAAGCTTAGGAACTCCACTTCAAAATGTAAATTACATGCCCCCCCTTCTCAAGAAGGCAAGCAGATAAACAAGAAAATACTTTTTTTTTTCCTCTCACTTCCCCCTTTTTTAACCTACTGCCATGCATCCTGCCCTACTTCTTTTTTTTTTTAATCTTTTTACACATGTAAACATATTCAGGGAGAAATCTGTTTATTGACTATCCAAATGACAGCCAAGGGAGGATATCCAGTGTTTGTAATACTACACTAGGAACTATTATTTCTTAGAAGTCCGACACAACATATTGTGTGACTGTGTACACAGAACATTGTCCTGGAAAAAATTGATATATATATAAAATATATATATATATATAATGTATATATTTAAAAAAACCTCTCAGGATCAGCTTTTTCCCTGCTGTATTGTAATTATATTTGCAGAGGATAGCATGAAAAAGGACAATTTAAAGCTCAAGGTACAAAAAAATGCAAGGGAAAGATCTGGAAAAGACAGACATCATCTTGAGAACCTCACAGTTTCAGGCCTGACTGAATAAAGTTGCTTTTTCATTTCCAGTTTATTCAACAGTCTGGTGCCTCTCAGACACATTCTCACCTTCTCTGGGAAGAAGCAGAACAACCTGAAAGAGGATGAAGGAAAATGCTCCAGCATTCACCACAGAGAGGCCACACACATATATTGCCATTTCTTGAGATGTGTATTGCTCTGCATGGCTAGAATAACTCTACCAGTGCTTCACTTTGCAAAGACACCAAGTGTCCAAGTAAGACTGAAACTGTCTGAAGTGCACACACTTTTATCAGTAAAGCATAAAGTGAGCTCTTCCATTCTTTCCCTTGGCCCTCTTCTTGAACAAGTGTTTTCTATGAGACTAGAGCTGGTGCATGCTCCTTGTTTCCCTTCTGTGTCACCAGCTGCAAGTACTTCAGTCGCATGGGAGGGAGCTGCTCATAAAGGTCAAATCCCAAAGGACTCTCTGCATTCAGGAGTCTGTAGTAGAGTAGGTGCTTTTTCAAAGTCTGAAGAAAGAAACAACAGCCATTAAAGATGTCTGAAAAGAATCTAATCTTTCCCACCCTTTCTCCAACACAACCTAGCAATGTACCAGCTAGTAAAATTCCACCATGCCCAACTTAATTTTATCATCTTCAATAGAAGAGCTACAAAAGGTTTCTCAAAAAAAACAGAATCACTTTTGATTTGCATGAGATTTCCACTGTCTCCTAAACAACCCTTCACAATGACTTCTTGCCACAAGGCCAAATGTGGTTTTGAGTGAGATCTAAGAATTTACTCTGGAGACTAAACACAAAAGGCCAAATGACCCAGCTCTGTCACGCTTTGGCAAGGTCCCTGAGAAAATGAGAAACCTTACATCTGTTTTGTTCTTTTTGAGTGAAGCATCCAACTAAGAGTTAAGGGAGATCACTGCTGGCCACCTATTTCATAGTTGTGCTAGAATCATCCCTCTAGGACCAGATATAATCCCACCGTCCAGATACAATGCTGCTTGGGAAGAGGCACGGAAATAGAGTACAGGAGATTATCTGGGTTCCAATGGGCTCAGTGCTTTGAGTTCAATCACTACAAGAACTGCGTAACAGTATTTATAGCCACCACAGGTCAAGATCTCCTCTCATTCTCAAATTAGCAAGGTAATTAAATGCAAGTTTCAAAAGCCAAAGGTAAATCTGTAAGACCCCATGTCTGAAAAACTTAAGTCCAAGTGGCACAGACTGAACCTCACAGATCCTACCTCATCCACCAACAGCCATGTCTTCCGCAGCATGCTTTTCCGAGCAGCATCAGCATCCTGGGAGCAAAACACAAACTTCACTTGATATGGTGCAATGTTACCTTTGTCCTTTGACTACCACTTGGATCCTGCCTCTCTCCTTCATCCCCTGAACTGAATCTCAGCTGACTTCTCAACTTTGAGGTACAACTGTAGACCAGAGATGAAGCGCTAGTGCAAATAACCCGTGCTAGATGCCCTGAGCTCATGGGAGGGCTTCTACTTGGTTATTCATGCAAGGTGAAAGGACAGAGTACTATGCACCTCAAGATTTCCCCAGGCAAAGGCCAAATCTATTACATGCTCTCTCTGCCTGATCAGCTCCCTCATCCTCTCTGCTTCATTCTTCCCTGCCATACTATAGCCCACAAAGCTGCTGACTTCAAAAGTTTCTGCAGGATTTGCTACCATTAATTAGGGTATAATGATAAAGAGCTGCTGCCTGAATCTCACATGTGGATTCTTAAACTTCTGCCCAGCCCTCCAAATATTTTCTTATGATCTCTTGTTTTCAAGCCCAGTGCCAGCGATTCACCACAAACCATACAGGACCCTGCAGAAGAGCAGCTGCAAAACCCAAAGCTTCTAGCCCTGAGGCTCTGCTACCCAGGACCTACCTGTGTCGTGCTGTATTGGGAGAAAATAAAACTGTTCACATGAGCTACAGCCACCACATAAAGAACAGGGCACCAGGTGTGGCGCAGGGCACCAGTGACCAGCGTTCGGAAGTAGAGTCGCAGGAGGTTCAGGTTGTCCTCAGGAGGGGAAGTGTATCGCTCAAGAGGCACAGGAAACTGAAAAAAACCCACCCAAAGGCAACATCACAATTTTTGTCAGGGTCTAAGTACCGAGGGGTTCATTACTTTAAGGTGTCATTCCCCAGCTGTTCCTGCATGTGCTCCTCTGTAACAAAATGCACCTCGGTGGCACCACCACCATTTGGAGCAGAGCTGTTACTGCCCACATGACTAACATGACAAGCCTTTGAGAAAGCATCCTCAAGACTTCTTCAGCTTTATGGAGAGATGTTTCACTGGTTAAATGACTGCAGTTGCTTTTTGGCACAGGTAAGAAGAAATGTTTCAAGGTGAGGAGACAGAGTGCTTTCAACAGCACCACATTCCACAAATGTACCAGAAGCACTTACACTGACCCATGCATTTAGCCAGAAAAGGAAAGAATATCTATGTGCCAGAGTTAATGTTGATAAGAGAAATTTCCAACATTTTCCAATTTCACTGTCTGGCTTCAAAAAATAGGTTAGAAAAGCTTTTAGTAACAACATGGTTTTGTTTGCTTCTCCCCTCTCCAGAAGTCAGATTTTTTTTCTTGTCAATTTTGAGGTAAGTTCTCTAGGGCTAAAATTACTTATTTTACTTTGGAGGTTCTTCTCCACAAAATTAAAGACAATCATTGATTTTACTCAATTCAAAAAGCAGTCTGCCTTCTAGGGCATTCCTACTGTCCACCAGGGTATTTTTAACTCAAGACAAAAGGGGAAAAAACCCAAACAAACAACAGCATCTCAAGTGATCTTGCTCAATTTTTCCAAAACAAAGTTTGTTTTCAAGCAGCACTCCAACAAAACCATTATTCAAAACATTTGCCATTTTAAAAACTTCTAAGCACACAAAGAACAATCTGCTTTGAAATGTTCACCACTGTAATATGCCACATTCTGACTGGGGGTATAGGGCTCTAGTGTTGAAGGATCAAGATAAGACACAGAATCAAGGTTTTCATCAGGAATATGGTGTTCAGCTCTGTTGCTACATACATTTGTGGAACCTGAACTGAAGAAGACAGGGAAGGTCTACTGGGAACATCAATACAACAGAGAACTTACCAAAAGAAGCAGGCCAGAATATATTGGCTTACATTTCTTAAGAAACAAAGGCTCATCTGGCCATGATATAGGAAAACAGGCCACAGGGCTACTACAGTCATAAGTGCTGCAACCACAAAATGAAAAGCACTGGTCTCAGGTAAACAGTTGTTTGGAAAAGAAATTTTGAAAGGTTCTCTTTATTAGCAAGCATTTTGGCTAGATCAGGTATTGTCTGTCAGCTTAAAGCCAGATAAATTCCATCTCTTCTGCTCTGCTCATTCAAAAGAGATGAAGTCCTGCACTTGAACAGCATGAGTTTTAATGCTGAATTACCCAGCAAAGCACAACTCCAGCATAACTAAACGTGGAAACACGGTTGAGAGAGAAAGTGACTATCCATTCACTGGGCAAGGAAAAAGTTCTCTCCAAGATCAGAAAATACTTATTTAAGGGAAAGGTAATTGACGGCAGAGGAACTTAGGGTGCAAATTAGCCCTTCATACATACAGGCCATAAATTAGAGGGATGGTTTCAATCATTAGACCAAGCAGGGTATGGGACAGTTTCTACTGAAGACTGAACATTTTCAGAGCTCCTGTCTCTCACATATACACACTATCTGCTCTCAAAACATAGTTTAACAGACTTCTGAAAATCATCATGTGACAAAGCCTGCACCTATAGAGGCTGGTGCCCACTCTTCAGAGGTACAATCAATCATACTTCTTTTTTTTTAAAAAAAAAGAAAAATAACAAAAACATGTATACACTGCTGTCAGCCCTAGATCAAAAGAACATTGCTCTCCATTCCTATTCTGTTTTATATTCCATGCACTGGACTTTCTTCAGAGACAATGAAAAGCTCCTAACCAAAGAAAGTATGATTATTCTACTGGACAAGGAGGGATGAGGAAGGAGAAGCAGCACTGAGAGAATGCCCAAATCAAGGCTGGAGATACAGAGGCAAGAGCCCAGTAACCCAGAAATATGCAGTGACAGGCAATCATAAAGCAAGATTACCTGCTGAAGTGGCACTCCCAGTGCTCGCAGGATACTCGTGTGCTCCCCAAAAACAGAGAGACGCAGATTAACGCTGAAACGCTTCTGTAGAGGTAGAAGAACAAAGACTCCAAAGAGTGGATCTCCAAAGGAAACACCTTCAAACTGCTCCAGAAGGCTTATATAGAGATCGTGGAAGGATGCCAAACCAGGGAGAGGAGCATCCAAGTTCAGGGAGTCCAATGGCTTGGGTTGGCAATACACAGAGAGAAGGGCAGCTGTGTAGCGGTGGATTGGTGCTTCCAGAAAGAGGTCACTGCCTGTGAGGAAGACACACATAAGCCGTGCAAGTTTGGCAGCAGTAGGGATGCTCTGAAGGGTTTTAGCACGCCAGGTCTCCAGCAACAAGACCCACTGCAGGTTCCAGGTCACAGTGTTGATGAGATCAGGTGAGAGAGAGTTAAGGACAGCCCCATGTGTCTCTGCCTTAGTCACTTTGTTGTAGAGGCTGATAAGCGGAAAGAATGGCCAGTCTGATGGCAGGATGGGCCCTTTAACCTCAGGAAGCAGCATTGACTGGATGAGGTAATTCTGTCCTTGGTAGGATGCCTGGGAACGTGTAAGGGTAGGCTGCAAGTGGACAAAATGAGAAAGGTAGCAGGAGCGGATAGAAGGCAGATTCTGGTATGATTCTCTCAGCAGGGCACCACGAGTAGCTTTTGAAAAAACTGCTGCCGCAGAGCCAGGTTGTGCCAGTTTGGCACTGGTACCCAGATGCAGGATATCAGAGAAGTCAGCTGCTTCTGGCCCTCCAGCCTTCCCTTCACTGTAAGATAAAGACAAACATCAGTTGAAGAAAAAAAGAAAAACAAACAGAAAACCAACCAAACAACAACAAACAAACAAAAAATCAACAAAAAAACCAAGCACCAAACAAACCAACCACCACAGAAATTCATCTCTACAATCTTCCTGGACCAGGAAGAGTAGTATATCCCCAGCACTTGCAACACTTACTCCAGAATTCAGCTATGATAATACTAAGTGTCTGTAAAGCATCTGCCTATTTACAGGGAATTCACAGCACTACATTTGGAGCTGGCAACAGTGAGGCCAGCAGTTTGGTGTGGAGGCTACAAGCCCTTGTCCAGAGAGGCAGTCTAATTACCAACACAGCTGTCAGGGTGTTGAGATGAAATACTGCATAGGGTATAAAGCCTACATGAATAATTAAGGCAATTCTCAAAATAATAGCTTTGCAGCTGGCAGTGGCAAGGTCAGAGGAACTATACAGACTAGTACTTAAAAACTGGGGGGGTATGTTTGTCAAATCCATGTGCCATGATCTCAGACCAGAGACTGACCATGGTCTCAGATTACTTGCCAAATTCTCACAAAATGGTAGCTCTATAGAAGGTGTTTGTGGAGGAAAAAACAAACAGAACAAACAAACCCTACAACCCACAACAACCCCAACAAAACAAAAAACCCACCCAAACAAACCCACTCACAAACTTCCCTCCTTTCTGGAAAACTACAGTACCTTCTTGCAGCACCTTGGTCCAACCTTCTACAGCAATGCACCATGGCAAATTTTAAAGATGGTTATGAACAAGATAAACTATCATTTTCTTGGCCAGACATAGGAGGCTTCACATTTGAGATATTAATTTTTTGTTTCAGTGCAAAGCTGAAGACATCACAGTTGTCAAACAGCAAAAATTTGTGTAAGACAGCAGATGCTGGGCCTTAGTAAGAATCAGCTCTATCAGGAATTACAGGACTCTTGCCACAGAGGAGATCAAAAGAAACTGGTCACATTTCTCAACATTGGTACATTGGAGAGAAATCTGCAGCCACACTGATGGCTTGATTAGAAGGCTCCACAACTGGAGAATATGCCAGTGAGTAACTAGAATCTGACTACAGGCCCTATCAAAGGCCAAAAATCATTACAAAATTGCAGTGTCATCATGTGCTTTTCCAGTTTTCCTATGTTTTCCCATGTATCAGACTACAGAACGAAAAAATACAAAGCTTACGGAAGAAACTGTGGATTAAAGGCAAGATCTCTCAAGACCTCGTAAGCCACATGCTCACCCCCTGGCAACAGCCGGCTTAGCAATGCCATGGCAACTGAGTGATGGAGTGAGGCATGCTGGGTGTAATCTGGACAAGTGCCTGCCTGTACAGGGAACAAAACAACAGATAAAAGCACTATATCATTTGTCAACGAGGCAATCAACAAGGACAGCAGGGTCAACCACGACATATCTCACTGGAAAGTGAGAGACAGAGGCAGACTGTAAGAACTGTCAGCATTACCAAGTCCTTTCTGCTTTCCCTAATTGTCTTAGACAGTCAGACCTCTGCTTAGCAGCACATTTGAAAGCTTCGTTCTCACTTTAGCCCCAGAAATACAATTTTGCCACCTAAAGTATTTTGGATCTAAATCCCCACATCGGTAACTGTAATGGGGCATGAAAGACAGCTGAAGTGTCACCAGACCCAAGTAAGGTAGAAAATGGGTACAGAGCAGTTGCCTGTCTGGCACACTGAGTTGGGAAGGTCAGGGTAAAGTCAATCCCTTGGTGAGAGGAAATGAAAGGACTGACAACAATACCATTTTCCGAGCCAGCGCTAACACAAAGTACTGCAGGTGATATTCATGGCGCAGGATCCACGCAGATGAGGGAGTTACACAAGGAGGTCCAGTCTGCCAGCTTTGATGCAGATAATCCTTCAAGCCTCTGAAGCCCAGCACAGAGCTGTACTATAAAGGAATCAGAAGTGGAGACAAATACTACTAATAAAGTTTGTGCTTGGAGGAAAATAAAGCATAGCTCTCCCCAAGGCATAGCCCTATCTTCTCGTAGGAGAAATCCTGTTGGTTACTCCAAATGGGATATTTAAAAATAGCCTGATAAATATCTGCTTTTCTGCCTCAGGGCTCACCTGCATCCATTATGACCATTCCCACTGCAGGTAACCAACTGTCACTGCCTACATTTTGCATAGTACTTTGTAAGGCAGAAGACCAGCCAGTGGCTTGTTTTTCTCATCTAGACAGATATTCCTGCTCATGTTTCATGTAAGTTGACAGAGGAAGGCTTTGAGAAAGTGTATGCTAGGTATTCCAACTCTCTAGGGCTCTGCCATTTCCTCTTCAGAGTGTGCAGTCTTCCATGACACACTCACTCTAAAAATTCAGGACAACTAGAATTGGGAAGAAAACTCTGCAGCTGCTGTAGCACTTGTTCTGTTTAATTTTATCTCATTTTTCCTTGTTATACATGCTTCAACTATCCCTTTCCTCCTCTGACATTCAGTTATTTGTTTTGGTTAGCCAAATAACAGTTACTTAACCCTTCCCAACATTCTTGATAAAGCCACCTTTTACACATCATCATTCGTCATTCCAGCTTCCCAGTGTCAATTGGATATTGGAATTCAAACACAAGACACTTTTCAGATCTTTGTCCCACCTGTTCTGAAAATGATGTATTTCTCTTGATAGTACTTTGATATTTTTAATAAAAATACACTATTCCTTTTTAACAGACCTACTAAAATCACTCTTACGCCTGGGAAGATACAAACTTTACCCTCTCCCTCACCATCATTCACCTAAAACTTACAGTGGAAAAGTCTATTCTCACCTTGCTAGTCAGGCCTTTGTGAATATGAGTGATGCTATCCACGAGAAACAGGAGGGCAGTAAGGAAGGGAAAAGGTGACTGGGAGCCAACCAGGCTCAGAGGAGGTTTGCCACCAGTGCAACTCAGAGATCTAATGCTGGAGATGGATTCTGGTGCTGGGGAACAGGACAGAGGGTTGCACAAAGCAGAGCATGGCCTGTGTGAAGAGATAAAGAGAGAGGAGAAGTCAAGTCAAAAGCACTCGTACCATTGAAGAATGTTACTGTTTGAACTGTGCCACACATTGCAGTAAAATGAAAGCCCCAATGAATGTGCACAGAAAAACCTAGCATCACAGTTGGTTAAGTAAGCACCATCACCACAGAGGCCAGTGAAATGTTGTGAGTTTGAATCTTCAGGTAAGCTGTGCATGACATGCGGAAACACTGATGCAGTGACGCATCTCTGATGCCAAACATTTGAAAGTACTGGGCCTTAGAGTAAAAAAAAATAAAAATAAATGCACCTTTCCCCATGTACATACGTAAACCAGCCTAAGAAAGCTGTCCACCCACTCAAGACATTTCAATAATAAGCTGGCAGGCAAAGCCAAAAAGTCCGCTTATATCTAAAATTGACCTTGCAAAAATCCTGTCCCTCATTATTCATGAAACATGTATTTTTTTAAGTCTTTTTAGTAAGAATCCAGCTTCAATGTACATGCATACAACTGTGCATACTGCTCATGGTGGGTGTGCTCACTCTCTGCAGGTAAAACTACTTTTCTTACCTGCAGTGCTTCCATAGCCCACACTAGACATACATCTGTGCAGGCAAGACCACCACATGGAAGTGTCCACAAGCACGTTGCTCAACAGTAATGGGGCAGCAGGGCAAATCACATCAAAGATCTATGTAATTACTCTATGACAAAGAACTAATTCTTTAAATGCCTTGCTCTTCTTTGCACTGGCGTTACCACGTAAGGAGATGTGTGAACACATCTGGGCTCATAGAGTACCTCATCTGATCAGAACATTTAGACAAGATGGCCAAGACACTAGGCAGAGACGAGCTGACTCTTCATTTTTACCAGCCAGTGTTAAGAACAGCCTAGGAGAATTCTTGCTGATGTGCTTTCACAGCCTGACCAAACCTATTTTTTCAGAACTCAAGGATAGGCAGGAAATCCCCTTCTGCTGGAAATTTGGTGCTAAGAGCTTCAGACATCAGTTCTCAGTCAGGAAAGAGCATGGGCCAAATTGTTTGGTGACCACTCAAATAAAACATAAAACCAAAGATTTCAAGGGGCTTTACATCAAATGTTCTCAGAAGCAGCAAGATGTCTCCCTGACTACTTTCCCCCTCTCCAAAGCATTGATCACAGGCTAGCAGGGAGGCTTCCTCTACAGCAGAAAGACAGTGCTGAACAGTTCCCAGAGCCAGAGACACAGCTTGTTATTAAAAAATCTGAAGGAACTGTTTGGTATCTGGCCTTTTGTTTTCCTGCAAGGGCTTTCAAAGCCTTAGACAAGTTCTGCAGGAGCTTAAAGGTTAGAGTCTAGTTTAAATTATTTTATATAAGCAGCATTACACGTATCACATGAATGGTACATACACAAACACTCACCTCCCCAATGTAAGAGAGACTCAAATTGATGTTACTGTTTTTTTTTTAAACCTGGGAAACCAAAGAAGATTCAAAGCTCCCTTAGCGTCCAGCAACAACATCTTAATGGTGAAATTACTCTACCTGAGTAAGTCCCACATGCTGTGTATGGCTGGGTGGCTGAGAAGGGGCTGCAGCACCACAGATGTCAAATGTTCAAGCTCCTCTAAGCAGTCAACTGGATTGACTGATGGCTGCAGAATACATGGAGAAAGACAGGAAAAGATGGTGAATGAAGGCATTCCAGTGAGGGCAATCCAGGTTGATTTAATTGCTTTCTCTGTGTTAATTATCTTATTGCCAGACGACATCATCTCCATAGTGGCACTGCTCTAGGTTACAGCTGACCTCAGTGCTGGTAGTGTGGACAATCAGAGCTGGCATGTCAAGGTGTTCTCACACCCATTAAAAAAGGAAAAAGTTCTTTAATATGAAGGTGATGGATCACTGGAACAGGTTGCCTAGAAAGGTGATGGAGGCCCCATCCCTGGAGACATTCAAGATCAGGCTTGATTGGGCTCTGATGGTTTAGCTGGAAATGTTCCTGCTTATTGTAAGGGGGTTGAACTAGATGACCTTTAGAAGCCCCTTCCAACTCTATACATTCTATTATTCTATGAAAATGCCTCACAGGGCTTTCTTAATTAGCTGGAAGTAAGGTATGGGATCCTTGGGATCAAGATTCCTCTAACGGAAAACTTGCCCTCAGTGGCTAAACCCTCCTCCCCATACCTTCTACATGCTGATCTGTTCATTCAACTTGAAGATGACACAAAGGTGATGAGAGCTGCCTTGAGAAAGCAGACTGGCACCAAAAGTGTCTCAAAAAAAAATATATATAAAAAAAAAAGCAACTGTATAAAATGTGATTGACCTACCCATTGAAGCATGACTGTGGTTGAACACTGACAGAAGAGGATCTGTGGCTTTTAGAGAACCATTCCAATTCTTCCAACCCTAGTAAGCAATATTCCAAGTTGAAGGAACATGCTGACAAATTTTAATGTTCTTTCCCTTCGTCAGAATGCTGCTTTACTATACAGAAATAATAATTTCTAGAACATAAAATCTAATTTTTGCCACGTGAGATCCCCCTCCAGAAATCAGTACAATCTACACAAAGATGTTAACCCTTTGTTGTTAGTAGTCTAACAAAAATATTCCAAGACGGTTCCAGTATATACTGATCTAGTTACTATACACGTTGTTTGGTTGGGGTTTTTTTGCACTAGTCCATTCTGATGTGCTATTTTATTTTTTTTAACCACAGATAAGATGATGGAACTTCTTTTTAAGTGGAGATAAAAAAAATCTTACATCATAGTTCAAGGACTTAAATTATTTTGTGTAGACAGCTCTTCCAGGTCAGAATTCAGGCATGCCACGTGGGCAGTAAAGAGGAAACTTGCATTTACCTTTAGCTACCTTAAAGATTCATATTCTAAACTACAAGACATTATTCTTCAACAGCATCACACTGATGTGTCACCTTCAAAAAACTCACTTTAAAAAACAGTCACATACTAAAACTGTATTTGGGTTACAGAAATTGACTTTGAATGTCAGAGACGCAGCAAATTTATTGTTTCCTATCCAAAGTTCATATGGCATGACCCTCAACACTCAATCTTCCAACCACATTGTTGCAGTGCAGCTGTCCACATGTGAGCTCTGACCACAGCAAATGCAAACACGTGGAACAGGGAGAAAGGATTGCCAAGTTATGTCACATTTATTTCATGCTTTGGACCTCTGCAGTAGATCAGTATGGTCACAGCACTACCACATACCTTGATTGTGACTCTGAGCCCAAAGGAAGAAAGGACAGGAAAGGAAGACAGTGATATTTAGCACTGCTAATGTGAAGGATAAGCAGACTTACTTGACCCTAAATGCCATATAGCCTAGCTATAAGCAGGGGTAAACAAAATCTAGTCTTCAGCTAGATGCCTCAACATCTTTCTTTTTCAGCATTGCCTGTAAGTTCAAGTTTTCAGAGGTAATACACAGGCTGATGCTGGTGAGATGAAAAGACATCCTGAATTTTCAGGCCTTACCTGTTGGCTGCAAGCACTGTAATAAACTCCCAGGTAGATCAAATAAGTTGTGGTCAGAGGCTGAAGAGTTTGCCAGGTTTCTGTCTGGGATATCTCCTTCAGGAATTTTCTCAGATTGGTCTCAAGGAAGGGCCGTAAGCCTGATACTTGATTCCACACTACTGGAGGAGGGGGAATCTGTTCACCATCTTCTGAGCTGTTACTGAAACACAATGGAAAAATGACCCAGGATAGAGAATACATCTCAGAAACAACTGTCTCTCTAAATTATCATTTTTAATATCAAGATTTCCAATTGCATGCAATACTCAATGACAGCTAGTTGGGGAAAAAAGTCTTTGCACATTTCAGCACACCAGCCCAAATCAATTTAGGCAGAAAGATGAATGCACAACCTAATCAGGAAAGCTGAGGTTTCTTCACCTTCACTACTCTATCCTTGAGCTATGCTGCAGTTTCACTGGACACACTACTGTGCTATCTGGCTTTAGTTACAGTTTCTTGCTTTTCACTAGAAAAAGTAACTGTGTCGTTAGCAAATCCTACTGCTTTGCTGTCTTTCAAAAGCAACAAACTCTTAATCCCGACCCATTCTGGTCTCTGCAGAGAGGTTCTTTCCTCCAAATCTCAGGAAGTTTACCTTCTTTTCCCCAAAGGAAAGCACAAAGGAACTTCCTAGCTTGTTTCAGCAGGGTCTTTGGCCAACACTGCCCTTCTGCCCCATAGGTGAACAGATTTTTACTCTTGCCTCTTACCAGGCTAGCAGGTACACAGCTGTCAGACTAGACACTCCTGCCGACCTTGTGTCAGAGGGAACACACCTCACCATGCAGGGATTTGCATATGGGAGAGTAAATCATGCAAAATAAAGAAAAAAGGCGACAGGCAGGTCTCCAAACCAACTAGAGTGAAGACAGGACACCAGCCTCTCCCAGGCACAGAACTGGTGAGAGAATGAGCCTACCTGCTCAGCCTGGCCTGCAGCTCTGCTGCGCAGCCCGCTGTCTGCGTCACGCCCGTCAGCAGAGTGACCACTGCCGCAGCTCGCTGGACAGACAGCTCAGCCATGGGGCTCTTCCCTTGGCAAGCATGAGGCAACTCAGGCAGCGACTGCAGTATCCTCACCAGCACAGGGTAGAGATCCCTAAGGCATGAATCACAGAATAGATTATGTTGGAAGGGGTATCTGGAGAACATCTATAGTTCAACTCCCTGCACAAGCCAGGTCAGCTAGAGCAAGTTTGCCAAGGAACACATCCAGTTGGATTCTGCATATCTTCATGGACAGAGTGTCCACCATATTCCTGTGCAACCTGCTCCAGTATTTGATCACCATCACAGTAACATTTCTTCTCTTACACTGAAGTGAAATTCCCTCTATTTCCACTTGTACCCATTGCTTCTTGTACATTAACTTCCCACCACTGCGATCATCTTCTTTGCACCCTCCCATCACATACAAAGATTGATAAAATGAGATTATGAGAAGTATTACTATCACCAAAATAATAAACAGACATGGAAAAAAAGGAAGAATGTCATTCCAAATTCACCTGAATGAGACCCACCATATACTCTGCCTCCAAGCATTCTGAAAATAATCTCTTGGAAAAAACTTTTATTCCTGTTTCCCTAGTTCTCAAATTCTCAAAGTACATGCAGTTACAACCATGTAAATTCAAGGCATTTTCTGCTGTTTCTCTTTCCACAAGATTATTTACTGTGCTAAAAAAAAAAAAAATCATACACAGTTTTTACTCTTTCTTAACCAGAACATGTGATCGGGCTGCAGAACACAAAATGCTGTTGTGGAGAGAGATTCTCCCTTCTGAAACTTAATACTGTCCTCCTTTTTACTCCTCTCTAGAACAACTCTATAGCCATATTTGTGCTTCCAAATCAGTGCAATTACAGGAAAAAGATTCAATGCTTGACATAGGTGAGACTTATCTCCATGCAGACTTTGATGGTCAAGCGCAAGAACTTGTACTGAACTGAAAGCAGATGGAGGATACAGAGTTTGTCTGTCTCACTTTGCATGCAGGCTGGTGACTGCTGCCCACAGACTGTCATTAGATCATCAGATTCAATCCTAGGTGTGCTGCAAACTATGTGTCTTGATGTCACACAAGCACAGACTATTCATGCCTTCAGGAGGAAAAAGATGCAGCCCTATAAAGTTAAGGTCATTCCCATGGGACAGAGAAGAAATAACTAAATCCTAGTGCTTAAACACAGAAAAAGAACAAGCAGAAAAAAGACAATACTCAACACAAATACCTTCAGAAACTGAGTTTTACTGCAGGAGGCCAGAGAAAGACAGATAAGATTCCCTGAAGGGAGCAGAGACTGAGCCTGGAGATCCCTATATTTGCCACTCTGAAACAAGCTGTCCATTTTCTCTGTTGTGCCCTCCACCCCCATTTCTCCAGCTTTGGGCTGTACCTGTAGAGATCACAGGCCTGGCCATAGCCAGCTGCCACAGCCCACAGCCGGAAGGCTTCGGTGCTCAGCCTGATGGCTTCTTCACCTGGCAGGAGTAAATCCAGTGGGTCTTCAGCTATAAATCGACTTAACCGACTCTTCATTTCAAATTTGTTAAGCTAAAAATCAATCAAACAAAAAATAAAAGAATAAACAACAAAAAAGACAAAGGGATAAGAGAACAGTTAGTTGCACCCATCATTCCCTCATTACTCCGACACTCCAGAAGAGCTGCTGACTTCAAATTCAGCTCATTCTAACCTCCTCTTGCACTGCTCAAATCTGTCTTTATCTTGTGCAATCTTAAGAAGCATACTAAGAATGATCAATAGATAGTCAATGGCTATTAAGAGAGAAATATTGCTGGAAGGGATGCCTAGGTGTTACCTAATCCATTCTTAAAATAAATCAACTACACCTCAGTACCTTCTGATGGAGGTTTGCCTAGTGCACACACACACTCTTGTTTTGGATGCTCTCCACTGCATTTAATTGATTTTCAAAATATATATAATTATCCTTCTTTAAGTAGCCAGAAATAGAACTCTATTAGTCATGATTACAGGTAAAGATACACATTATGAAAAACACTAAATGGCTTTCAGAGGTCCTACAACCTCAATCTTCCAATGATTCTGTACTTATTTTATGAAAAGGGTATTTCCTGCCTATTACTTTTATAAGATCATAGAATTTTGATGCCTTGAAAATGATCTGAGGTTACTTTAGTATTGAATTAAGCATAACATGACTCACTTGCAGCTCTTTAGAAATAATTTCTATACTCCCTCACAACGGGGTATTTTTACTTAGCCATTAAAAAAAAGCTTCTCTTTGCCTCTCCCACACACAAAAGCTTGTGTGTGCTGTCTAAACAGATGAGGTAATGATTTCTTTTTCACAACACAAGGACATATTATAGATAATTTAAAATTCAAATGTTTTAGAGACATTTTGTAGGGAA